AAAATTTCTCTGCGGTAGTTGCTCCATTAACGGATTTGCTCAGTCCGGCGAGAAAATTTGTATGGTCTGAAGATTGTTGTACTGCTTTCAACACTGCTAAAGCACTCTTATGTAGTACTCCTGTTCTTGCTGCGCCAGATTTTGAACGACCGTTTAAACTGGAGGTAGATGCAAGTGCCAGAGGTGCTGGTGCTGTTCTACTGCAGCAAGACCAGAGTGGAGTGGACCATCCTGTCTGTTATTTTTCACGGAAATTTAACAAATGTCAGACAAACTATTCCACCATTGAACAAGAAGCTCTAGCTTTGTTGTTAGCTCTGCAGTACTTTGAAGTTTATGTTGGTTCCAGTGCATTACCAGTAATAGTGTATACTGACCATAACCCCTTAGTTTTTCTCCACCGGATGTACAACCAGAACCAACGCCTTATGCGTTGGGCACTTGTCGTGCAAAATTATAATTTGGAGATCCGCCACAAAAAGGGGTTGGATAATGTGTTGGCAGATGCTTTGTCTCGTGTGTAATGATCTAGGTTTTTTTTTGTTATCCCGGCAGGATGATTTGTGAATTTGGGTGTTGTGATAGTACGTGTGTCGCAAACCATTGTGGTTTGCTCTTTTAAGGGTGGGAGTGTTACGGATACAGGTATCCTGTGTCCTGTGTTTTTCTCTCCTTCTGCCCTAATCACAGGTGTCCTGTATGTTCCTGATTGGTGGTCGTTGAGGTGTCTGATGATTGGACCAATCAGTGAACATTCCTGTGAATTGCACCACCTGTTACTCGTTTGTTCAATCACACATCCCATTTTATAAAAACCAAACTTGTGTGTGTTGCAAGAGAGAGAGATTTTTGCCATATGTGAGTATGGACACGGTGGTGTCCTGTGTGTTGTGTACTCACTAAGTTGTTGGTTACCCTATTGGTAACTTTGTTAGAATCCATTTCTTTATGTGAGTGTGGATACTGTTGTGTCCTGTGTATTGTGTACGTACTTTATTGCTGATTACCCTGTTTTGTAGCTTTGTGTGTTTCTGGGAAAAGGGGAGTTTAAGCTAGTTGCCCTTGGGCGTACATTACCCGTAGGAAGAAATCTGTCTAAAAACACTAGTTAGACCTGAGCGGACCACCCACTGTACTTTTGTATGACTAGCAGTAGCCTAGCGGTTCTTCAGGCAGGCTAGATCAGTTTAGGGGGTTTTACACTATTGTTTCATTTCTTGGGTCCTGCTCAGCCCTTTTTCCCCAAACCCTTACCGTGTGTTTTGAAATAAACCATGTGTGTTTGACGGTAGTTCATGGTAGTTGTGTCCTATTTGTTCTCACTATTCCATGCCACACTTATAATTTACATGAATTTATGTTACGGGTCTCATGTCCATCCACCCTAGATGTTTAGAGCCACGGGGTTCGTAACAGTAAGTCATGACATCTAAAGAGACAGTGATAGATGCCTGGGTCATTCCATGAATAAAGTACATTTTGTAGTGTAACTTGATAAAATAAAATAAATTACTTTCACCTAATTGTAACATTCTGCCATAAAGAGCACATGTTCAACTTAATAAACGATTTCCAGTCTCGAGGGGTAAAAGAAAGACTCTAGTAAGTGCCAATAAAGTTTCAATAAAGTAACAGGGTTAAGGTTTTCATCTTAAATCAGCCATAAATCCCCTTGTGACAGGGAATGGAAGCTTGTTGTGTGCAACGGGGAGGGGCAATTGAATGCAAGGACGTCACGCTGCTTGCTTAGCGAGTACCACTTCCTCCCGATTCGGCCCATACCTGCCGCGAACTCAGGACCTCTGCCTTGCTAGCACACGTGGCCGCCCTCCTGAAGCGCCTTACCAGTCGGCGCCAAGCGAAAAGCTAGCTATTTGCTGGCGCAAGTGGGGACACTTCAGGCTGAGGAGTAAGATTCACACATCCCCATGTCCTACACAAGCTTCACAAACAAAATGTAATTGTTAAACCATTTTTAGCCTAGCTATCTCTGGGTAACAGGGTTGATGTGTTATGCTCGACACACTCAGTTTTCCACCACAAAACACCAGAAAATGACCAAAAAGAGTAGAACCAGCTCACCTGCTTTTACACTAAGATTTGACCATTAGATGTTCAACGTTTCTTTTGAAAAACATTTTTTTAAGGAATAGTTTCACCATATTAAAAAAAGAGTTCAGTTCACATAACAGGTTTGACCTTAAAATGAGGGACAGATGTAAATGAATCACATTATATAAATAACAATGTTCAGAAATGACTTTGTCAGAGCAAAAACATAACTAGGGCTTTACAATGATGGCGAAAACTTGAACACATTTTGGGGCTAAGTGGGTTAAAATCTTCCTAGAAGTCGGAAATACATGATGAGGGACATGCTGATTCTTGGCACTTAGCAAGTCTTTATTCATATAAAAAATAAAAAAATGAATTTTCAATGTGGTCTACAGTGGGGGAAAAAAGTATTTAGTCAGCCACCAATTGTGCAAGTTCTCCCACTTAAAAAGATGAGAGAGGCCTGTAATTTTCATCATAGGTACACGTCAACTATGATAGACAAAATGAGAAAAGAAATTCCAGAAAATCACATTGTAGGGTTTTTAATGAATTTATTTGCAAATTATGGTGGAAAATAAGTATTTGGTCACCTACAAACAAGCAAGATTTCTGGCTCTCACAGACCTGTAACTTCTTCTTTTAGAGGCCCCTCTGTCCTCCACTCGTTACCTGTATTAATGGCACCTGTTTGAACTTGTTATCAGTATAAAAGACACCTGTCCACAACCTCAAACAGTCACACTCCAAACTCCACTATAGCCAAGATCAAAGAGCTGTCAAAGGACACCAGAAACAAAATTGTAGACCTGCACCAGGCTGGGAAGACTGAATCTGCAATAGGTAAGCAGCTTGGTTTGAAGAAATCAACTGTGGGAGCAATTATTAGGAAATGGAAGACATACAAGACCACAGATAATCTCCCTCGATCTGGGGCTCCACGCAAGATCTCACCCCGTGGGGTCAAAATGATCACAAGAACGGTGAGCAAAAATCCCAGAACCACACGGGGGACCTAGTGAATGACCTGCAGAGAGCTGGGACCAAAGTAACAAAGCCTACCATCAGTAACACACTACGCCGCCAGGGACTCAAATCCTGCAGTGCCAGACGTGTCCCCCTGCTTAAGCCAGTACATGTCCAGGCCCGTCTGAAGTTTGCTAGAGTGCATTTGGATGATCAAGAAGAGGATTGGGAGAATGTCATATGGTCAGATGAAACCAAAATATAACTTTTTGGTAAAAACTCAACTCGTCGTGTTTGGAGGACAAAGAATGCTGAGTTGCATCCAAAGAACACCATACCTACTGTGAAGCATGGGGGTGGAAACATCATGCTTTGGGGCTGTTTTTCTGCAAAGGGACCAGGACGACTGATCCGTGTAAAGGAAAGAATGAATGGGGCCATGTATCGTGAGATTTTGAGTGAAAACCTCCTTCCATCAGCAAGGGCATTGAAGATGAAACGTTGCTGGGTCTTTCAGCATGACAATGATCCCAAACACACCGCCCGGGCAATGAAGGAGTGGCTTCGTAAGAAGCATTTCAAGGTCCTGGAGTGGCCTAGCCAGTCTCCAGATCTCAACCCCATAGAAAATCTTTGGAGGGAGTTGAAAGTCTGTGTTGCCCAGCGACAGCCCCAAAACATCACTGCTCTAGAGGAGATCTGCATGGAGGAATGGGCCAAAATACCAGCAACAGTGTGTGAAAACCTTGTGAAGACTTACAGAAAACGTTTGACCTGTGTCATTGCCAACAAAGGGTATATAACAAAGTATTGAGAAACTTTTGTTATTGACCAAATACTTATTTTCCACCATAATTTGCAAATAAAGTCATTAAAAATCCTACAATATGATTTTCTGGATTTTTTTTCCTCATTTTGTCTGTCATAGTTGACGTGTACCTATGATGAAAATTACAGGCCTCTCTCATCTTTTTAAGTGGGAGAACTTGCACAATTGGTGGCTGACTAATTACTTTTTTTCCCCACTGTATATTAAAGGGTACTTAATTTAAAATGCAATATTGGTGCACAATTTCTACTTTAAATATCAAAAGGGACGCAAAATGTACTCTGCTCGTGGAGTGACCTGCCTGTGTGTAAGTGTGTGTTGGTATCTTTGTGCAGCCGTGAGTCTATGCGAGTTGTTTGCAATGTTTTCTTTATTTTTATTTTATTTTACCTTTATTTAACTAGGCAAGTCAGTTAAGAACAAATTCTTATTTACAATGACGGCCTACAATACAATACATCATATAAGTATGTATCTCAGTAATGTGCAAGTAGGTGTGTATCTGGAAACTTTAGTAGTATATTTTGTGTGAGTGCCTTAGTGTGTGGCTGTCGGTAGTGTTGTATATTCAGTGTTTTATGTCAAATCAAATCAAAATGTTATTGGTCACATACACATATTTAGCAGATGTTATTGCGGGTGTAGCGGAATGCTTGTGTTCCTAGCTCCAACAGTGCAGTAATATCTATGTGTATGTCTATGTGTGTACGTGCATGCGCGTGTGTGTGCACGTGCCTGAGTCCGATTACGATTGCCAGTCTATAACACACTGATGGGCCTTGGGAATAGAAACTGTATATTTGCAAAGCCAACGAAACTCAAGCACTTGAAGGATTACCATGAGAGAAACCTGATCGGGCATGGAAAGCCAACGAAGTGGGGTGGGAGATTAGTGGCTGACAAGGTCACTCCTTGTGATTGGCCTGTAAGAACAGCCAAGGTGCAAGCAGCGAGAGAAGGATAGAACATCAACACACAGATATGAAACTGATATCTACAGTTGAGTTTAAAATATCAGGATATAACAGTCTTCAAAGTAGTTGTTGACTTCTATGTTCTTGTATAATTAAAAAGAGATGTCAGGGATAATTGATTGGACGGCACCGCTGTGCGACGAGAGATCATGACTTCACGTGCATGCCATTTACAGATGTCACAAGTCCAAGGACATGAGCTCAGTGAAGAGTGCAGACTGAGTAAAGACAGAAAGACAGACAGAAAATCCTTCCCCCTCATGTCCAGCCCATCCCACATACAACACTATGTGATAGACAGTGTCCATCTGCTGTTAGATGGTCAGTTGAACCCTTGCCATAATAAATGTAATTGAGACTGCTACTCTTGTCCTTTAGCTAAATATGGAGGGAGCTTAAGGAGAGGAGGGGAGTATGAGTGAGGTGGAGGTTGTGTGGCGTTTGCAAAGAAAGCAGCGAGACGATTGGTTGATGCTAGTCCAGGCGAAGGGCTTCTTGCCCAATCCTGATCATATTCAGACAAAAGGCAGCTAGATGAGGGGTACTTATTGGGTAGTCATAGTACTGTGTCTATCAACGGTGTATCAGAAAGCCACTCTTCCCTGGAGTTCCATCTTTCTCTCTGTTGTCTGTTGCAGCGGAGACAGCCACCATGGTAAGAGTCTGTAGAGGGAGAAACCGAGAGCGAACGAAGATAACAATCTTTTAAATGATCAGATGTTTTAGGATTGTTTCGCTCATTCTGCTGTTTTCTACAGATGTTGTCCGATTTCTAAAGTTTTTGCTGATATTTTTTCATTGTGGGGAATTGCTGAAGATGGATATTCCTGATTGATTTTGAAAATGGACTAGTCCTGCCTGTGCTCAAACATACGTACACACACACCAGCTGGCCCAGCTGTGGAGTACAGCTGGACCAAACGATTTACGTAAAGAGGGCTACCGATTTTAAAGTTTAAGGATCTTGTCTTGTTGTTGTGGCCCACGCATCAAGATCTTGCCTTTTTTTTTCAATGAGGTGTTTTTTGTATTCCCTTTGCTGTTATGTTACATGTACCACAGACCGAACGTCATGCGGTAATATTGTGTACCGCGTCTACTTCAATTCACGCGTTAGTGTATGACGTCGTTAAGGTTTTTCAAGGCCACCATTGGTCACCAAAGGTTACTGAGACAGTGGTGCTGGCTAGACAGAACACGGTGGCAAAGTGATTGAAAGTGACAAAGTGAGTGAGTGACAGGTGGAATGCCAACATATCTGTATCTGTATGTCACAGTGTAGACATAGACACTAGTAATGACTTTGGCAGAATCTCTGCCATGCCAGAGGGAGGCAGTATAATGAATGTGAGGGATGGGGTTGTGGGGGGTGCTCAGAGTACAAGGAGTTGTTAAAGAGGATGGATGAATCAGTGTAGGAGCAGAGTGGTGGGACATGGCTGTGATTGACTATCAACTCTCCCCTGGAGGTATATTAAGTATCTGTCATATTTTTGCTGTTGAACCAATGGTTCAAGGACCAAAGACAGAAAGACAGTCCTATCTTCCTTCATTACTTTTATTGGAAATAATCTATATTGCTTTTCTGTTGCTTTTTAAAAGTTATACAATATGTTCATTGATGACATGTAAAGGCATTAAATAATGTTGTTAGATTATCATTTTCTACCATGGCCCTACACAAATATGTATCATTTGTAGAACGTTTGTGAACATGTAATATTTTTTTCATTGTCATAATGTTGCTTGTCATTTAGCTTGATGTAGATGTGTGAAGAGTTGCTGCCAGTCAATGGTAGGTAGGTGGAGGTGATGACAGATATATGGTAGGTAGGTGGAGGTGATGACAGATATATGGTAGGTAGGTGGATGTGATGACAGATATATGGTAGGTAGGTGGAGTTGATGACAGATATATGGTAGGTAGGTGGAGGTGATGACAGATATATGGTAGGTAGGTGGAGGTGATGACAGATATATGGTAGGTAGGTGGAGGTGATGACAGATATATGGTAGGTAGGTGGAGGTGATGACAGATTTATGGTAGGTAGGTGGAGGTGATGACAGATATATGAGGGAAAATAAAATGACCCATCCCATATAGTGTGACAGCAGCTATAAAGTGTCCAGACTGTGGTCTGGATCCAACATGCTCTCTTCAATGACAGCTCTACGGCACTGTTGCGGTCAATTCGAATTGAAGGCAGTCAATTCAGGAAGTAAACTGAAATTCCAATTCAATAATTGAAAAAAAAGCTCATCTATTTTTAATGACTTCTCAAAAAACTTCAGAGTAAAAGCCATTTATTTCTAAAATATTTCAATTTGTAAAGTTTAAATTCAAATCACTTATTGAATTGACTACCTTCAATTGGAATTGACTCCAAACCTGCTCTACAATACCTGTATTAATCTTCTCAGAAAGGTCTGTTTTAATATATATATAATTATCTAACAGAAAGGTCTGTTTTAATATATATATAATTATCTAACACCACAGGCACAGTGAACTAGTACATGAGAAAATGTATATATTAATACAACTTCCCCTATCCTCCCCCTCTAGCCTACTGAAACACAGAGCGACGCCCGCTCCTTCCTGAGCGAGGATATGATTGCTGGTAAGCCACGTGTGTAATGTATAGCATATCCCTGTGTCTGCTTGTTCCAACCATGCTATGTGTATCACTTCACATTCAGCTGTTTAGGTCGTGTTTATGTAGCCATAGTCATCCTAAGAATACTTCCAACAGTCAACAAAATGTGTCACTTTAAAAATGCTCTGATTGTACCAACAGCACATTAAGGTAACACGTGACCAACAGGTGAGAATTTCTCTCGGTAAACACTAACTCTCCCATCCAGAGTTCCAGGCTGCCTTCAACCTGTTCGACAGTGACGGTGGTGGTGACATCAGCACCAGGGAGTTGGGTCAGGTGATGAGGATGTTGGGCCAGAACCCGACCAGAGAGGAGTTGGCCCTCATCATTGAGGAGGTCGATGAGGATGGTAAATAACTGACTGGGTCAAATGTCAGGAGATAATTCAAATGTCTGGCCAGGGTATTTCTACTATTATTCATGCTTCCTCTGTCCCTGCTTCATCTCATGAGCCCCTGGCTGTGTCCTGCCCTCCTCCCAACACCAGGTAGCGGCAGTATCGACTTCGAGGAGTTCTTGGTCATGATGGTGAGGCTCCTAAAGGAGGACCAGGCCGGCAAGTCCGAGGAAGAATTATCAGAGGTCTTCCGTATATTCGACAAGTACGTCCCCTGAATCGTAACCCCTGGAGTCTCCTCCTTACTGGCATGTTACAGAGATTTCTCACCCTGGTTCACCATAAGGTATCTGGTGGATGGCCAATCACAGGACACAGCCTCGTTAGGAAGCTCAAATCAGCTTCATTTCCCTTTTAGTTCAGGCAAAATACAGCAGCTGTGCGTTACATTATTCTAATTGATCTCAACTGATCTATCCTCTGCCCAATACAACAGAAATGGCGACGGTTTTATTGACCGTGAGGAGTTAAATGACATCTTGGCCGCCACTGGAGAGCCAGTCACAGAGGAGGAATGTACCGAGCTAATGACAGACGCAGACCTAAACAAAGACAACAGGCTTGATTTTGATGGTAAGACATGCACTCCCACACACACAGGCTTAAATGTCATTCACATTCATGTATTATGCTAACGGAACATAAACTGGTAGATGACTAATTGTCAATGGTAAACGATTTGCATAGAAACTTTGACTAGTGATTGGTTTGGGATTAACAGGGGCAATTTGGGTGCGCAGTCTGTGGGTAAATATAGACTGGAATGCACGCGCACACACACACACACACACACACAGTTGTCTGTTTAAACTATGGTAATTTGTGTAGGCAAGTTTATTTCTGTTAATTAATATTAATGACCACAAGTCTTGACTAAACTCAACTCCCGCTGTTCTGGGTTTCTGTGTTTGACAAATATTCAAAACAGAATACAGTGTTGAGGTCTGGTATCATGGAAGTACCACATCCACATGAGATAAACAATCATTAACATGAAAAGGCTCATATATGACATTCATCTTCTGGTTACTGGACACATACAGGGTTATAGGGGGGGATACTATATATTGTGCTTGGGTGAGGGTTGTGGTTTGATGATACAGTCGTGTGTTTTGCTATCACAGAGAGCGGGAGGTTGATTGGGATAAAGGAACTCTCAGTAGTAGTGTGTTTTGCTATCACAGAGAGCGGGAGGTTGATTGGGATAAAGGAACTCTCAGTAGTAGTGGGTGGGAGAGGATCCAATGAACCCCTTTTTTCTGTGTTCCAGAATTTCTGAAAATGATGGAGAATGTACAGTAACAAGACCAGCATTCCTTTCTGACCCTTTCCATTTGCCACTTCTACTGCTTGAAGAAAAGAACAACTATGTTTCTGAATGGAAAATCAAATACAAAATTGAAGCCACACCTTCTTGAGTCTTCCCAACTACTTACAGTAAAGAGGCTACCCAAAAACACTACAAATCAAATCAAAGTTTATTGGTCGCGTACACAGATTTGCAGATGTTATCGCAGGTGCAGCGAAATTATTATGTTTCTAGCTCCAACCGTCCAGTAATATCTACCAATACAATAAAAATACACACAATCCAAAAAGTTAAAAACAACTAGAAATTAAGAAATATCAGAATGAGCAAAGTCAGAGTCCGGAATATAAACTGAACAAAACTATAAATGCAACATGTAAAGTGTTGGTCCCATGTTTCATGAGCTGACATAAAATATCCCAGAGATTTTCCATATGCACAAAAAGCTTATTTCTCTAAAATTTGGTGCACAAATTTGTTTACATCCCTGCCAAGATAATCCATCCACCTGACAGGTGTGGCATATTACGAAGCTGATTAAACAGCATGATCATTACACAGGTGCACCCTGTGCTGGGGACAATAAAAGGCCACCCTAAAATGTGTTTTGTCACACAACACAATTACATTTTAGTCATTTAGCAGACGCTCTTATCCAGAGCGACTTACAGTTAGTGAGTGCATACATTTTTAAAAAATCATACTGGCCCCCCGTGGGAATCGAACCCACAATCCTGCCGTTGCAAACGCCATGCTCTACCAACTGAGCTACATCCCTGCCACAGTTGTCTCAAGTTTTGAGGGAGCGTGCAATTGAAATGTCCACCAGAGCTGTTGCCAGAGAATTTAATGTTAATTTCTCTACCATAAGCTGCCTCCAACGTCGTTTTAGATAATTTGGCAGTACGTCCAACCGGCCTCACAATCGCAGACCATGTGCAACCACGCCAGCCCAGGACCTCCACATCCGGCTTCTTCACCTGAGGCATCGTCTGAGACCAGCCACCCGGACAGCTGAGGAAACTGAGGAGTATTTATGTCTGTAAGAAAGCCCTTTTGTGGGGGAAAACTCATTCTGATTGCCTGGGCCTGGTTCCTCAGTGGGTGGGCCTGGCTCCCAAGTGGGTGGGCCTATGCCCCCCCAAGCCCACCCATGGCAGCGCCTCTGCCCAATCATATACATACATACATATATATATATATACTAAGGAGTCTGCCCAAATCCACTACAGTAAAGATTCTACCCCAAAACACTACAATAAAGTGAAAATGTGTTTGAGAAAAGACAATAACTGAAGGTTATTTACCCCCTCCTCGATACTGCCGATCTCAGTAATGTGGACTCTGTGGCTATAAATATCCGTCCAACCCTTTTAAGACGAAGGCTCTTTCCGCAACCCGCAACCTAACACTTCCCACCCAGCTGTCTCTTTACACCTGCTCCCTCTCAAGAAATGCTACACCCCTCTGGCCCCCCTGCGTCTCTCCCCTCTGCATCTCGCCCCTGGCTCCTCTGAGTCCCTCCCCTCTCCCCTCTCCCCCCCTCCCCTCTCCCCTCTGCATCTCGCCCCTGGCTCCTCTGAGTCCCTCCCCTCTCCCCTCTGCATCTCGCCCCTGGCTCCTCTGAGTCCCTCCCCTCTCCCCTCTTTGTCTCGCCCTTCTTTTTTCTGCGTCTCGCCCCTCTCGCGTCTCAACCCTGTACAGAGCACTTTCAAAAATAAACCTGCTTTCATCTTTAATATATGTTTCCATCTCCTTGTTGTCATGTTGATACAGTAGACTGGCTCATTGTCTGCTCCTTCTGTATCACTCCACTCTACCGTTTCTCTGTATCAAGACAAGCCCTTTGCCAATCATAATGCATCACTATCAGCCCTCCCCTCCAGTACCACTACCCCTCCCCTCCACCACCCCCACGCCTTCCCTTACCACTCCCCCCCACCCTGACTGCAACATCTCAGGTATCCTAGCCCACCCTCACCCCGTATATTCCACTTTCTCCTCCCCTCTCCTATTCCCATATATGAACTATTCCCACTAGTCAGTGTCCTTGGTTTCTGAAAACACCTTTGTTCCAAAGTCCATAGAAAAAACGGTCATCTTGATTGGCTCTGCCTAATCCTTCTGAGGTCCTTTGTTGTGGTTTTTCTTGTGATGAATCTTGAAAGATTCATGAAAATGGATGAAAGAGAAATAGGTCTACCACATTAGGTAAAGGAGCATGCAAAGTCCAAAACAGTTCACCAAAAAAGAAAGACAGTAAAGGTGAAGAAAACGTTCAGATGCTTCTAATTGCGTCGCTAACGGCAACTTGCAAAATCAATGATCTTTTCATCACTTCATGTCATCCATGATGATCAAAAAAGAGCTGTGAGCACTCAACAGAATGCACTGACACTGCTCTGTCTCCATGGAGAGGTCCCCAGGTTTACAAATACTATATCAGTATTGTAAGATGCCATCTCCAAGAAATGTGTAGTAGCAGCAGCCCACCAAATCCTTATTTTGGAAGATATCCTCCGCTCCCTGAGTATATAGCCCTTAACCCCCACCACCACCACCACTAACAACATCCCACCCCCTTCTTCCCCATAATATCCCAGAATCCCACCCCTCCTCCTCCCTCTCAGACACCAGGCCTTATTATCTCTGCGCAGGAAACCTCCACCATACAAGGAGAGTCAAATATTGAGTGGTTGGCCTGTTTATTGGATACGATACTGTAATTAAGGGCGGGCTCTGTCTCTGTCCTGTCCCCATACAACCATAAATCGTCTGCTATTCAGGGCATAGCACTGCCAGCTTCCAGCTCTGCAGCCCTTTTCCACAGGGTAGGGTTTCACACCCAGAATGAAACGCCATCCCACGGTCACAACCCGCTCTGGGCCCACCCTTCTTTATCAGCAATGCTGAGGCCTACCTTTGGTTTAAAGTATGGTACCAGCAATCACCATATTTGCTTGAAATCACAAGTGCATGCTTGGACATAAGCTACACCTTGTTTCAGAATTTAATATATTCAGAGATTGCTTAAAAGGGCTGGCTTCATTCCCTTCTGAATAAAAAAAACATTGAAACTTTGCGAGTGGGGCAGGTGAGGGAATTTGTTTAGCTTGATGAGCAAAAACATTTTGTCTGACAGGGAATAGCTAGGTATACTGTTACATTCAGGTACCTCAAACCTGCTGCACTTACAACAGGGGTGTCAAACTCATTCCATGGAGGGCCTAGTGTCTCCGGGCTTTTGGTTTTGCCTTTCAATTAAGACCTGGACAACCAGGTGAGGGGAGTTCTTTACTAATTAGTGACCTTAATTCATCAATCATGTACAAGGGAAGAGCGAAAACCCACAGACACTCGGCCCTCCGTTGACTTACAATCAAAATAAAAAATTGGTAGATGCATACTTATAAAAAGTCTTACTTGAATGCCCAGAAATGTTGTGTGCCTTTCAATAGTGACATGTACCTGAAAACTTCCCAAAACTTTCCCCCAAACTTCCTAAGCTAAGTTTACCCCATCAATTAAATGTTTGCAGATTCAAGACCACCACTCACCACTCAACATTTTTATTGGCTTGTGGGGGGCTTCAGAACCCTAAAAAGTTCAAGATTCTAAATCTGGAGTCCTGTGAGCATCGGGGGGCGTGTCTTAGGTGACCAGTTTAAAGCGTGTCTGAACTCTTACTTAACGTCTAGTCTTTCTGTTGAGGTGCACGCGGATTGACCACTCCTTGGGCTTTATTTCCGTGGATATTTTGGGGAAAGCTAATTCGCAACCATGGTAAGAACAATCATTTGAACACGCACAACCAATTACACGAATAAAAGCATGATAAATAGCGAGGTTGTATTGGTTAAATGTGCAATGTTAAATCTGGATGGGCAAAGAAATAAGGGCAATTAAGATTTAATTAGCCTAATTTAGAAATAATTTAGTTGAGAATAATATCGACAATGTATTGTCTCTTGAATATAAAGTGTAAGGTATAAGACGTGTGATTGAAACATTTTCTTAACTCATGATTTTCTCAATCTCATCTTGATAACAACTAAATTGTGTTTACCAAAAATATTAAGTATTGATAGCAGTATTTCTGGAGCATGAAAGTTATGTGTGTTCAGTGGGCGCACGGTATATATGGGTTTATGGGTGCTTGTCGGACACACAACCTAAAAGGGAGTCCCACAGCAAGGCTGCGGGTTGTGCTTACGCGACAAATTCCGCCGGATTGTGTATCCGCATGGCCATATACAGAGGGTGGGGGAAGTAATGTGCTGAGCCTTAAATAGCATAGCTACATTTCACTTGGCACAAGAGCTGTCAGTAGTCCTTATAGGCCTAGCCTGCCCCTTTTGTGAGGACACTTTTTTTTTTTTTTTGTGAGTGTCAATAAAACAAACACACTAATCTGATAGCCAATAACATCAACAACTGTTGGCAAAAAAATTAAGCTTGGTCTTGGAGAGATGGTCACTTCAATGACATGACACGTGGCGCTGTTTTTTTCTCTAGACTGATGCGCAACAGGAGGCTCGCTCATTCTTGAGCGATGAGATGCTTAACGGTGAGTAGGCCCATCACAAACCCATGTTGCCGTTAATTTAATGTCAGGTCTAATGAATACAATAATACGTTTCCCGATACTTATCAGCTACCTCATCATTCCAGAGTTCAAGGCTGCCTTCGACATGTTCGACACCGACGGTGGCGGTGATATCAGCACCAAGGAATTGGGTCAGGTCATGAGGATGTTGGGCCAGAATCCGACAAGAGAGGAGTTGGATGAAATCATTGAGGAGGTCGATGAGGATGGTGAGAAACGGCTGATTCTAAAATAGATTATATTAGCCTACGTTAATGTATGTATAAACCTAAATGGGATGCTTAAATTACTTTTGGGTAACCTATGCCCATGTTGTGACCAGTGTATCATAAATACCTGTTTACATTGTCTTTTAACTGTTGTATTCGAGCGTGTTGCGTCATCTATCTGACTCTTCACCTCAGGTAGCGGCACAATCGACTTCGAGGAGTTCTTGGTCATGATGGTGAGACTCCTAAAGGAGGACCAGGCCGGCAAGTCCGAGGAAGAGTTAGCGGAATGTTTCCGTGTGTTCGACAAGTACGTTACAGGTTTGGGGAGAAGGGGTTACAGTTTACATGTGTGCAATTACAGTCAGCCTTCAAATGATGTCGAAAGGCTGTTAAACTCCTTCCAATGTGTTACTTGCGCAGGAATGCCGACGGCTACATAGACAGAGAAGAGTTCGCCATCATCATCCGCAGCTCTGGCGAGCAAATCTCAGAGGAAGAGATCGACGAGCTGCTGAAGGATGGAGACAAGAACGCTGATGGCATGCTGGACTTTGACGGTATGACATAGGGATACTAATTGTGATGCTGATTGGCCAATTAGCCTACATATTGACTTGCACTTTATTGACCCTGAATTACATAGCCATGAATTAAAACTTTTTGTTCATAATGGATTTGTCACTCTTTTTAGAATTCCTCAAGATGATGGAAAATGTGCAGTAAAACAGAGACTCATGGACATTCCTCCTTCCTTTGACCCCCCTGCTGACCTATTCTGATCCTCTATTGACCCACACCAACCTGCCCTTCCCCCCTTTTCTGGTCCATTGCCTCTGTTCCTCCACCTCGATTCAACAGACAGGCACCTGGTGGGGGTTACCAGGGCTTTTGAGCCCTTCTTGCTTGTGATTATGACACCAAGCTGCTGCTGTTCTCCAAATCAGGTGGGCAAGGCCAGGATGTGAAATTCACTGCAACTCCACAGTATGGCTCAGTACATCATGGGCACCTACCACCTCAACAGCCTGAAGCTGGGAGCTTAGTCGGGATGTAGTCTGACGGGTAGCTTGTGATCGCTGCTTAGACCAATGCCAACGGTAACCACATCACTGTAATAACAAATTATTGCTTGAAAGGAGATAAATTAATAAACACATGCTCACTGGAAGTTGGTCTGTACGCTATTATTGAGGAATATCAATAAAATGTTTTTATTTATTTGACCCACACATCCATCTTGTCTTTGATGTATGGCTGCCATTGTTACTGTTATGGACCAAAATAACAAGCCACATCAGATTAGAAAGCAGTAGCTTAGTGGGTAAGAGCGTTGTGCCAGTAACCGAAAGGTCGCTGGTTCTAATTCCCGAGCCGACTAGGTGAAAAATCTGTTGATGTGCCCTTAAGCAAGGCACTTAACCCTAATTGCTCATGTAAGTCGCTCTGGATAAGAGCGTCTGCTAAATGACTTGAATGTAAATGTATAGCTAGGCCTATTTCCTCACTGCAAAATACAAATTATAATACAATAAATACAGTACCAGTCAAGTTTGGACACACCTACTCATACCAGGGTTTTACTTTATTTTTACAATTTTCTACATTGTAGGATAATGGTGAAGACATCAACTATGTATGCACACATGACTGTGTCGCTTTGTTTAAAAGCGTCTGCGAAATGGCATTATTATGGAATCATGTAGTAACCAAAAAAGTGTTAAACAAATCAAAATATATTTTCTATTTGAGATTCTTCAAATAGCCACCCTTTGCCTTGATGAAAGCTTTGCACACTCTTGGCATTCTCTCAACCAGCTTCACCTGGAATGCTTTCCCAACAGTCTTAAAGGAGTTCCCACATATACTAAGCACTTGTTGGCTGCTTTTCCTTCACTCTGCCGTCTGACCCATCTCAATTTGGTTGAGGTCGGGGGATTGTGGAGGCCAGGTCATCTGATGCAGCACTCCATCACTCTTGTTCTTGGTAAAATAGCCCTTACACAGCCTGGAGGTGTATTGGGTCATTGTCCTGTTGAAAAACAAATGATAGTCCCACTAAGCCCAAACCAGATGGGATGGCGTATCGCTGCAGAATGCTGTGGTAGCCATGCTGGTTATGTGTGCCTTGAATTCTAAATAAATCACTGACACTGTCACCAGCAAAGCACCCCCACACCATAACACCTCCTCCATGCTTTAAGGTGGGAAATACACATGCGGAGATCATCCTTTCACCCACACCGCGTCTCACAAAGACACGCAGGTTGGAACCAAAACTCTCCAATTTGGACTCCAGACCAAAGGACACATTTCCACCGGTCTAATGTCCATTGCATGTGTTTCTTGGCTTAAGCGAGCCTATTCTTCTTATTGGTGTCCTTTAGTAGTGGTTTCTTTGCAGCAATTCGACCATGAAGGCCTGATTCACACAGTCTCCTCTGAACAGTTGCTGTTGAGATGTGTCTGTTACTTGAACTCTGAAGCATTTCTCTGGGCTGCAATTCCTGAGGCTGTTAACTCTAATGAACTTATCCTCTGCAGCAGAGGTAACTCTGGGTCTTCCATTCCTGTGGTGGTCGTCATGACAGCGAGTTTCATCATAGCACTTTATGGTTTTTGCGACTGCTCTTGAAGAAACTTTCAAAGTTATTGAAATGTTCCGTATTGACTGACCTTCATGTCTTAAAGTAATGATGGACTGTCATTTCTCTTTGCTTTTTTGAGCTGTTCTTGCCCTAACATGGACTTGGTCTTTTACCCCCCCCACCTTGTCACAACACAACTGTTTGGCTCAAACACATTAAGAAGGAACGAAATTCCACAAATTAACTTAAGGCACACCTGTTAATTGAAATACATTCCAGATGACTACCTCATGAAGCTGGTTGAGAGAATGCCAAGAGTGTGCAAAGCTGTCATCAAGGCAAAGGGTGGCTACTTTGAAGAATCTCAAATATAAAATATATTTTGACTTGTTTAACACTTTTTGGGTTACTACATGATTCCATATGTGTTATTTCATCATTTTGATGTCTTCACTATTATTCTACAATGTAGAAAATAGTAAAATAAAAATAAAATAAAAAATTGAACACGTAGGTGTCCAAACTTTTACATTTACATTTACATTTTAGTCATTTAGCAGACGCTCTTATCCAGAGCGACTTACAATTTGTGAGTGCATACATTTTCATACTGACTACAGAGAGATTCTTTTGACTGGTACTGTATATTTGCCCTAGCACTACACAGCGGATTCAAATAATCAAAGCTTGATGAGTTGGTTTTTTGAATCAGCTATGTAGTCCTTGGGTAAAAACCAAAAGGTGCACCCAGGGAGGGCTCTAGGACAGAGTTTGGGAAACCCTAGATTAAGCAACAAAGGATAAATTCAGTCCGGCAGAGATAAAACATTAAGTGAGTTTTATTCCATGCACAATTAGGTCCATGTGCAGAAGATTTGCAAACATTTAACACAACAGGCCGAATAGTTTTTTACTCAAAGATAAAGCTATATATCCACTGTCTAAAGGTGTAGGAACAAGTGAAATGGTTCCGGAACAAAAACCCATTCATGGATTCATATAGATAGTCTCAGGGGCGGTGTGTTCATTAGGGCGATATGGGCGACGCACTGCCAAACGGGAAAAGGAAGGGATTTTTTTTCTAATCAATTATATCACGGCAACAGTAGTTATGAGTGTTCTAATCTAGACGTCTGATCTGCCACTAAATGTCCAATCAGGCTAAAGTCGTGCTTCAAATGCCCCCCCCCCCCTTTTGGGGCGATTTCAGTCAGGTTGAAAATCGCCCAGAAGTCTCTCATAGACTCCCATGTAAAATCTATTTTTTTCAAATATCAGAGCTTTCAATACAATCTCTATGGGTTTCTGAGGGCTTGCACTTACGCGCTTTCGTCATACGTAACATAACCATGAACGTAACTAAGAAAAGAGCGGGTAGCAGCATCAATCAATTCACGTACTACTATCAAGATGGCTATAGCGTTCAGTGCAACTCGATTGTCTCTTTGAAATAAGTTACTTTTTGTCGGCGAACAAATCAAGATAAATTGGCAACGAAACAATTAGGACCTCCCAGACCAAATTTAATAATTCAACAGGTTTCTACTAAAGGCGGAAAGTCCTACACCCGAGGATTTTCCAAAAATTGGTACGAACGAAAAACCTGGCTAGCAGGCTGCGATGTAGCTAATGCAGTCTTCTGCTACCCCCTGCTTACTCTTTCACCCTGAAGGCGGCACGGCAGACAGCACCGCTTGGACAGCGACTGGTGTGTAACGGACATGCACCATCTTTCAGGAAAGATTAAGAAACATGAGCTGTCAAAGACCCACATGGATAGCTGTTTGAGATTGTCTGCTTTGGGGAGAGTGAACATTGCCACTCAACTGGATGAGGGATACAGGCTAGCTGTCCGCCGCCACAACGATGAGGTTAGTGTTGATAATCACAAGTTTACTGGAGAACTGAAACTGACAAGGCTGACAAGATAGGACCCTTTTGTCCATTGTTATTGGATAGGAACAGAACTTATAACCAGCTCCTGACCTAAATAGATCTTAGCACAACATTTTACTCAACATATCATATTCCATATTCACTATAACAAATATATTTACTACGACATTAGCAAGAACCGCCACATCCTCAGCCGGCTAATCCAGTGTGTGAAGTTTTGCGGAGTGTTTGAGTTAGCTTTGCGAGGCAAAGATGAAACTGAGGGCTCCACCAACCCTGGTAAGCCAACACTTTTGAGATCAGTTAATAAATGCTTCTGGTATTGACTTATATGCTGCCCCTGTCTTCATGTTGTTGCTGGACATATCTTTTTTAAAATGTGTGTAGGTCACCTAAATCATCAGAAAAATTGCCCCCCCTGAGAATTTTTTCAGGAGCCGCCACTGGATAGTCTACATTTTTCCTCCCCTCAGGGCCAGGCCCATGTCCTGAAATATCTCAGTAAAGGACGGAATCAATTGTTTCAAAGGGTGAGAGTTACTGTATTCATACATTTCCATTTCACAATTATGTCACTAGGCCTATCCTTAGTGATAAACAGGACAACAATCTTTACATGCAAGCGAAGTTTCCTCACAGGACATATGATTGATACGGCAAAGCAATATCCTTCTGCAGACATTAACAAATAAAACATTGAGAACTTTCTAGTATAAAAAAAGTTGTCACATACACCAGATAGGTGCAGTGAAATGTGTTGTTTTACAGGGTCAGCCATAGTAGTACGCAGCACCTGGAACAAATTAGGGTTAAGCGCCTTGCTCAAGGGCACAGACACATTTTTCAGTGTCAGCTTGGGAATTCTAAACAGCAACCTTTCGAAACAGTCAAAAGCTCAGCTACCTGCCACCCTATTAGATGTGTCTATGCTATTAGATTTTGATAAATTATTTGTGAACAAATGTGCAATCCACTTTCCAAACTGTGAAAGGCAGCAACATAGCATCTAGTCTGCTGGAAAGTCACACGAAACAGACGATTTTGATAAAGATATGTATAGAAGGCATTGGCATTTGACATGAGCACAAACATATCTGAAGTCACAAGTGGATGGTCAATTAAAATTATCTCTATGGCCACATCTGCTACAAAATAAACTTTAGATCCTTATAAAAACATGTCAAATAATCATAGCAGAATAAAAAGCATGGACAATGCGAAAGAAAAAAATGTTCACGTTGAAGCCCATATCCCTCTACAACCACAGGATCTAAGAACCATAGTTTGCTTCATCAAAGGCCTTGCGGGCTCTCTTCAACTCCTCGTTCATCGTCAAGAGGTCTTTCACTCTAGCAAATTTCCTTGGATCTTTCCGGATGAGGAAAACAATGTCCTCCACCTGGACACGGCCCTGGCGTCCGATGGACATGGCTGTGTGTGTCATCTCCGTGACGAACTCGATCACAAGGTCCTCCAGGATGTCCACTGATTCAGTGTAGGGATTCTGGTCGTCTCCAAACCCATACATCATACACCGAAGCTCTTTAGAGAACAACCTTTTTCTCTTGCCGTGGCTCCCATCGGCTCCACCCGCCCCGTCATCCAAATCCTCGTCAAAAACTGCTTCGTCTTCCTCCTCCACCATTCTACCAGCTCTAAACGGTGTACTAGAGCTAGCAATTGCAGCTAATGTTAGCTAACTAATGAATTATGTAGCGAATTTAGCTGGCTAGTTACACATCCAAGGGTCCAACGATATTTCGCAAACTTTGCAGGAAGATGCTATTTGAATTTTTTAGCTTCATATCAATGTTAAAAACCTAGGAGCGCA